CTGATGATAGTTCATTGAATTTTAAACCTAACTGGCAATAATTGAAACATTACGAAATGAATAATGCTATTTTGAGATAAACACATATCTACATTTAAATAGCAATAAAATTAAAGACTGAGACACTTTCGACCCAAAAGCTCAGTGAGGCCCCCATATATCAAAATTGGCCAGCCATCACCCAGTTTTCACCCATCCTATAAAAAAAACACAATCTACAACACGTCCGCTCTATAGGCTCGCTAAGTCGCAATAATTCTATATTTTTTACGAATAACATTGAAATATCGTGTTTTATTTAACACGTTACAATCTTGGATTCATCATTACAATCCAGAAACTAAGTGCCTGTCGATTTTTTTTTTATAGGATAAGGGTGACAAACGAGCACACAGTCCACCTGATGGTAAGTGGTTGCTGCGGCCCATAGACATCTACATCTATCCTCTGTTACAAATCAAAATGTAGATGCGTTGTCACCCGTGAGGGCTAAGATGGAATGCCTCATTTCCAGTAAAAAGGGCCTCCGGCCACTTGCACTCACCTAGCGAAACGCAGAGGTAAACCTCTTCTACACGCTGGTTTTCTGTGAGGTCGTGGTACTATCCCGGTTCGAGCCGGCTCATCCGTGCGACAGCAAAAGCTGCCGCGTGGCTCTACCACTGTTAGAACTTGGTGATGGTTTGATTATTACAAAATGAACCGATGTTACCAAAGTGAAGCGATCGAGCAGAGTTTTTTTCATTTTAATGAAGTATATCTATCACACCGGTTATTACCAATATTTTGGCCACCCTTTTTAAAGTCCTGACTTTGCACTCTGTGACTTCTTTCTATTCCCTAAAATGAAATAAAATAGCTGAAAAGGATACAGCTTTCATCGGCGGAAGATGCGCTAGCAGCGTTCAAGAAGGCCGTACAATAATTTCCTGTCGTAATATATTTTGGTGATTGGTTCAGACGCATAAAACTTTGCTAAGTGGCTGGTGGAAAGTTTTTATGTTAACCATAGAATTTTTTTTAGTTTAACCTAACTTCTTAATAGCCCACGTATATTATATACTCCTAGACTGGATTTTTTCAGATAACTAAATATAATACTGTTATAATAATAAAAACAGATTGTAAATGTTAAACAATTACTCTAGTGTCATCAACTTTTCGCTCGTATAATTTTTCTTATTAATGTAGTAAGTAATAATCACAATAATTTAAATTTAATTAAGCCTTATAATTAAAATTTGTAACTGTTGCATTATCTAATTGCATAAAAAAGAAAATAAGAGGCTAAAGAAGCAAAACATACCCAAAGTTTTTTACTTAAAGAAAACTGAAGAAAACAGAAATTTGAATTTTAAACAAAACGTTTTGAATTCAAATTTGTATTGCAAACATGGTTTTATTAGTTTATTTTACTCATACTGTAGTAAGTTTTCTCGATTGAAATCTTAAAGTATATCTACTTCTGAAAGTATGTTGCAATATTTTTTTAAAAGTCCACATAAAGTAAACTTATTAAAAACTAACCAATATCAGCTCGAAGATATTGTAAGACGCAGCTGTGGGAAAAACCAGAAATATCTAATATCAATAGATGACAATGTCTTGTATATATCAGATGTAAATATCAATACCGATACATGGCAATAGCGCTTTGTTGACTTCTTTACAATAAAATAAAAAATAAAAAGTAAAAAAAAGTGCCTATATCTATACGACTACTGAGTACATGCTTCCTCTCAAATCTAAGAGAGTTCTTTGAGCAGGAATAGAAATCGCCGCGCTGCCTCAATGCGTGTTAGTTTAATTCACGCGTCCATTAATGTTAATTCCTCAGACAAGCCAATTTCCCCACGATTTTTCTTCTTTTGCTTACCTCGCTGATCATTGAGTATAGCCCTCTGAACGACCTCAAAGTATGAACACGTAATGGGAAACAATGAAAGACCACGTCTCAGGTCCATATGTCATCACTGGAAACACGCACTGATTGTACACACTTGTTTAAAGTTCAAAGGTTTGAGGTGTATCTGACGAGAATATGTGCATTATTAACCGAACACTATTATTTTATTATTACTAGATGTAACGCACGTTACACATTGTGATCTATTTCTTGTCCATGTCCGTATTAAGACCTATCCCACCGGATTAGTAGTGCCACCCACGGGTGGCACTAATAATGTCCTATAATAGACCGAATATTGGTCTCAAAGGGCACTAGCCATCTGAGCAGGACAGTATTATAGTTCGTTACTATTTGTGCAAACAAAGGCTTAATCTCTATTCCCTCACACTGATAGTCCAATTGGACGGAAACTTTCAATTGGTCCAAGAACCATATGTAGGAGCTGTCGGTAAACTCACACTGACTATGGGACACAGGGTTGTCCAAAAAAATCATGGTAGAAGTAAACCTCTGAAAGCAGCTATAATAGTGTTTGATAACGAGGTGGATGTTATCGAATGCTCTATACACATAAATGAAAATATAGCAGTGGCAACACTTAGAACCAGTGAGTGGACAATATCCGTGGCCTCTATATATTTCGAGGGTAGTTTGCCAATCGAACCTTGGAACAAATAAGGGCAGTTAAAGCTAAACTTAACGCCAAAAATATTTTAATAGAAGGAAATGTGAATGCTTGGAGCACATGGTGGGGAAGCGCACATGAGGATCACAGGGGAGAGGCACTTATGGGAACTGTGGAAGAAATGGAAATGCAAATTTTAAATGAAGGTACCATACCAACTTTCTTCACAATTAGAAATGGGGAAATCTATAAAAGCAGAGTCGACGTTACCCTATGTACTCAAGATCTTTTAGGTAAAATAACTGAATGGCAAGTCAACACTGATATTACCAGCTCGGACCATAATGTAATTACGTTTAACTTAAATTGGATGATACCAATCTATACTTAATATAATAAAGCGGAAGAGTTTTTTTTGTTTTTTTGTTTGTTTAAACGCGCTAATCTCTGGAACTACCAGTCCAATTTGAAAAATTCTTTTTGTATATTACAGCCAGATTCATGTGGAGTAGTATAGGCTATCTAGCATTAAACTATATCACTCAGCTAGCCTTAAATATGGATATTTGTAAAGCAAGTCAGAAGAAAAAGCACTCCCGAAATGATTTATCCGCGTACGCTGGTGTTGTCGTTAGGGATACGTAAATACAATGTTGTAGAAAAATATAGATCTTTACTCCGTCTAAAAAAAAGTCCGCGATACCATATGTCTATTTCTTATACATAAGCCATAATTAGGTATTTGGTGACAAAAATATTGAAAATTAAAAAGTGATTTATGAGCTTTATTATTCTGCATGGCCTATTTATCCTTACAAACGAAAGTTACTTCATCATCAAGAAAATTTTATGAAGATAAACTTTGTTCCTTATACCATGTTATTTGGACGCATAGTTTAAGAGATAATGTAAAATTAAAATAATTCAATACTTGGCTGGGCGCGCGAACGACGCAAAAACTCTAGCCGCTATCTAAATACCTAAAATAAATTATAAATTAAATTAAAAAAAATTATAATTATTCGGGACACTTTCTGGGACGTGGGAAGGGGGTAAGGAAAGTGGATAAAATTTAACTACGCTCTACATCATACAAAATATGCCGACAGATAAAAGTAGTCCATTAATTATGCCAATTTTTCCATACATTGCTATCAAATAAAATATTTAATTGCAATTATAAAATGCTTGAACTAGGTCATGTCGCGCAACTCCGACACGTGATGACGCGGGTGAAACCGCGAGGCACAGCTAGTTCCTAATAAAAATAATCTAAAAACAACTAGAGTGGATAACACAAAAAAAGGGAACTGGACAGCATTCAAAGAAAATATGGAAAATAATCTAAAAATTAATAGGATAAATAAGAACAGTATTAGAATGATAAGAAATAAACAGGAATTGGATATAAGTATAAACAAATACATAAAAATCATAGAAGATGTCCGCGAAAAAACAATCCCTAAAATAAAAAATAGAATAAATAATCGAAAGTACTTACCTTGGTGGACTGAAGAATTGGAGACACTCAGAAGAGATACAGTGCAAATCAAAAGGAGGATATCTTGCGCAGCATAAAGATATGTTGTGGACTAGTACCTGAAATCAAAAGAAAAATATGAATTAGAAGTTATATAAGCACAGACGCAAAGTTGGAAAAAATTCTGCAGTGCCCAAGATAGGGAAAGCCGCTGGGATGGGATTTATAGGATTATACGAAGAACATATAAGAGACAACCAGATGTGATAATAATTAAGGACGGAGAGGCCCTAACTTCTGAAGGATCAGTGGAACTTTTCGCAAATACTTTCTTCCCAGATGACAAAGTAGTAGATGATAATATCGACCATCAGATAATTAGAACTCTAGTAGCGGATGAAACTCAGACCTTTCCAGATGACGAAGATGACACCGAATTCAGAATGTCCGAACTCAGAAATACTCGTACTGTGAATAGCTTAAATCCCAAAAAAGCTCCGGGGCCAGATGGGTTCACAGCGGAGATTTGCTCTAGGTCGATAGCTGCTAATGAAGAGGTTTTTCTAGAAATTCTAAACAAGTGCCTAGAACTATCATATTTCCCCACCCCATGGAAGGAAGCTGCAGTGGTTGTTCTGAGAAAACCTGGAAAAACTGATTATGCTCAAGCTAAATCATACCGGAGACTAGGATTGTTGCCCACTTTAGGAAAGATAATGGAAAAAATTATGGTTAAAAGGATCCGTTGGCACATTCTTCTTCGGACTAATTGCAGGAAGTATAGCTTCATACCACAAAAATGCACTGAAGACGCTCTTTTCGTAAAGAGAGACTCGAACTTTTCTGTCTTGCAGATAGCTGTTCACCAATCTTCGAAGATTTCATGGACACTTCCTCTCTCGCAATCTGCATTTTATTGCAGGCCACCATGCACTGTCGAACGCACCCTTGATGTCCAGACAACATAACGATATGTTGTCTGGACATCACAAAAATGCACTGAAGACGCTCTTTACGAAAAGAGCGTCTTCAGTGCATTTTTGTGGTATGAAGCTATACTTCCTGCAATTAGTCCGAGGAAGAATGTGCCAACGGATCCTTTTAACCATCATTTTTTCCATTATCTTTCCTAAAGTAGGCAACAATCCTAGTCTCCGGTATGATTTAGCTTGAGCATAATCAGTTTTTCCAGGTTTTCTCAGAACAACCACTGCAGCTTCCTTCCATGGGGTGGGGAAATATGATAGTTCTAGGCACTTGTTTAGAATTTCTAGAAAAACCTCTTCATTAGCAGCTATCGACCTAGAGCAAATCTCCGCTGTGAACCCATCTGGCCCCGGAGCTTTTTTGGGATTTAAGCTATTCACAGTACGAGTATTTCTGAGTTCGGACATTCTGAATTCGGTGTCATCTTCGTCATCTGGAAAGGTCTGAGTTTCATCCACTACTAGAGTTCGCTCTATAGGCACGTCCGCTCTATAGAATCGCTAAGTCGCAATAATTCTATATTTTTTTACGAATAACATTGAAATATCGTGTTTTATTTAACACGTTACAATCTTGGATTCATCATTACAATCCAGAAACTAAGTGCCTGTCGATTTTTTTTTATAGGATAAGGGTGACAAACGAGCACACAGTCCACCTGATGGTAAGTGGTTGCTGCGGCCCATAGACATCTACATCTATCCTCTGTTACAAATCAAAATGTAGATGCGTTGTCACCCGTGAGGGCTAAGATGGAATGCCTCATTTCCAGTAAAAAGGGCCTCCGGCCACTTGCACTCACCTAGCGAAACGCAGAGGTAAACCTCTTCTACACGCTGGTTTTCTGTGAGGTCGTGGTACTACCCCGGTTCGAGCCGGCTCATCCGTGCGACAGCAAAAGCTGCCGCGTGGCTCTACCACTGTTAGAACTTGGTGATGGTTTGATTATTACAAAATGTACCGATGTTACCAAAGTGAAGCGATCGAGCAGAGTTTTTTTCATTTTAATGAAGTATATCTATCACACCGGTTATTACCAATATTTTGGCCACCCTTTTTAAAGTCCTGACTTTGCACTCTGTGACTTCTTTCTATTCCCTAAAATGAAATAAAATAGCTGAAAAGGATACAGCTTTCATCGGCGGAAGATGCGCTAGCAGCGTTCAAGAAGGCCGTACAATAATTTCCTGTCGTAATATATTTTGGTGATTGGTTCAGACGCATAAAACTTTGCTAAGTGGCTGGTGGAAAGTTTTTATGTTAACCATAGAATTTTTTTTAGTTTAACCTAACTTCTTAATGGCCCACGTATATTATATACTCCTAGACTGGATTTTTTCAGATAACTAAATATAATACTGTTATAATAATAAAAACAGATTGTAAATGTTAAACAATTACTCTAGTGTCATCAACTTTTCGCTCGTATAATTTTTCTTATTAATGTAGTAAGTAATAATCACAATAATTTAAATTTAATTAAGTCTTATAATTAAAATTTGTAACTGTTGCATTATCTAATTGCATAAAAAAGAAAATAAGAGGCTAAAGAAGCAAAACATACCCAAAGTTTTTTACTTAAAGAAAACTGAAGAAAACAGAAATTTGAATTTTAAACAAAACGTTTTGAATTCAAATTTGTATTGCAAACATGGTTTTATTAGTTTATTTTACTCATACTGTAGTAAGTTTTCTCGATTGAAATCTTAAAGTATATCTACTTCTGAAAGTATTTTGCAATATTTTTTTAAAAGTCCACATAAAGTAAACTTATTAAAAACTAACCAATATCAGCTCGAAGATATTGTAAGACGCAGCTGTGGGAAAAACCAGAAATATCTAATATCAATAGATGACAATGTCTTGTATATATCAGATGTAAATATCAATACCGATACATGGCAATAGCGCTTTGTTGACTTCTTTACAATAAAATAAAAAATAAAAAGTAAAAAAAAGTGCCTATATCTATACGACTACTGAGTACATGCTTCCTCTCAAATCTAAGAGAGTTCTTTGAGCAGGAATAGAAATCGCCGCGCTGCCTCAATGCGTGTTAGTTTAATTCACGCGTCCATTAATGTTAATTCCTCAGACAAGCCAATTTCCCCACGATTTTTCTTCTTTTGCTTACCTCGCTGATCATTGAGTATAGCCCTCTGAACGACCTCAAAGTATGAACACGTAATGGGAAACAATGAAAGACCACGTCTCAGGTCCATATGTCATCACTGGAAACACGCACTGATTGTACACACTTGTTTAAAGTTCAAAGGTTTGAGGTGTATCTGACGAGAATATGTGCATTATTAACCGAACACTATTATTTTATTATTACTAGATGTAACGCACGTTACACATTGTGATCTATTTCTTGTCCATGTCCGTATTAAGACCTATCCCACCGGATTAGTAGTGCCACCCACGGGTGGCACTAATAATGTCCTATAATAGACCGAATATTGGTCTCAAAGGGCACTAGCCATCTGAGCAGGACAGTATTATAGTTCGTTACTATTTGTGCAAACAAAGGCTTAATCTCTATTCCCTCACACTGATAGTCCAATTGGACGGAAACTTTCGATTGGTCCAAGAACCATATGTAGGAGCTGTCGGTAAACTCACACTGACTATGGGACACAGGGTTGTCCAAAAAAATCATGGTAGAAGTAAACCTCTGAAAGCAGCTATAATAGTGTTTGATAACGAGGTGGATGTTATCGAATGCTCTATACACATAAATGAAAATATAGCAGTGGCAACACTTAGAACCAGTGAGTGGACAATATCCGTGGCCTCTATATATTTCGAGGGTAGTTTGCCAATCGAACCTTACTTGGAACAAATAAGGGCAGTTAAAGCTAAACTTAACGCCAAAAATATTTTAATAGAAGGAAATGTGAATGCTTGGAGCACATGGTGGGGAAGCGCACATGAGGATCACAGGGGAGAGGCACTTATGGGAACTGTGGAAGAAATGGAAATGCAAATTTTAAATGAAGGTACCATACCAACTTTCTTCACAATTAGAAATGGGGAAATCTATAAAAGCAGAGTCGACGTTACCCTATGTACTCAAGATCTTTTAGGTAAAATAACTGAATGGCAAGTCAACACTGATATTACCAGCTCGGACCATAATGTAATTACGTTTAACTTAAATTGGATGATACCAATCTATACTTAATATAATAAAGCGGAAGAGTTTTTTTTGTTTTTTTGTTTGTTTAAACGCGCTAATCTCTGGAACTACCAGTCCAATTTGAAAAATTCTTTTTGTATATTACAGCCAGATTCATGTGGAGTAGTATAGGCTATCTAGCATTAAACTATATCACTCAGCTAGCCTTAAATATGGATATTTGTAAAGCAAGTCAGAAGAAAAAGCACTCCCGAAATGATTTATCCGCGTACGCTGGTGTTGTCGTTAGGGATACGTAAATACAATGTTGTAGAAAAATATAGATCTTTACTCCGTCTAAAAAAAAGTCCGCGATACCATATGTCTATTTCTTATACATAAGCCATAATTAGGTATTTGGTGACAAAAATATTGAAAATTAAAAAGTGATTTATGAGCTTTATTATTCTGCATGGCCTATTTATCCTTACAAACGAAAGTTACTTCATCATCAAGAAAATTTTATGAAGATAAACTTTGTTCCTTATACCATGTTATTTGGACGCATATTTTAAGAGATAATGTAAAATTTAAATAATTCAATACTTGGCTGGGCGCGCGAACGACGCAAAAACTCTAGCCGCTATCTAAATACCTAAAATAAATTATAAATTAAATAAAAAAAAATTATAATTATTCGGGACACTTTCTGGGACGTGGGAAGGGGGTAAGGAAAGTGGATAAAATTTAACTACGCTCTACATCATACATAATATGCCGACAGATAAAAGTAGTCCATTAATTATGCCAATTTTTCCATACATTGCTATCAAATAAAATATTTAATTGCAATTATAAAATGCTTGAACTAGGTCATGTCGCGCAACTCCGACACGTGATGACGCGGGTGAAACCGCGGGGCACTGCTAGTTCCTAATAAAAATAATCTAAAAACAACTAGAGTGGATAACACAAAAAAAGGGAACTGGACAGCATTCAAAGAAAATATGGAAAATAATCTAAAAATTAATAGGATAAATAAGAACAGTATTAGAATGATAAGAAATAAACAGGAATTGGATATAAGTATAAACAAATACATAAAAATCATAGAAGATGTCCGCGAAAAAACAATCCCTAAAATAAAAAATAGAATAAATAATCGAAAGTACTTACCTTGGTGGACTGAAGAATTGGAGACACTCAGAAGAGATACAGTGCAAATCAAAAGGAGGATATCTTGCGCAGCATAAAGATATGTTGTGGACTAGTACCTGAAATCAAAAGAAAAATATGAATTAGAAGTTATATAAGCACAGACGCAAAGTTGGAAAAAATTCTGCAGTGCCCAAGATAGGGAAAGCCGCTGGGATGGGATTTATAGGATTATACGAAGAACATATAAGAGACAACCAGATGTGATAATAATTAAGGACGGAGAGGCCCTAACTTCTGAAGGATCAGTGGAACTTTTCGCAAATACTTTCTTCCCAGATGACAAAGTAGTAGATGATAATATCGACCATCAGATAATTAGAACTCTAGTAGCGGATGAAACTCAGACCTTTCCAGATGACGAAGATGACACCGAATTCAGAATGTCCGAACTCAGAAATACTCGTACTGTGAATAGCTTAAATCCCAAAAAAGCTCCGGGGCCAGATGGGTTCACAGCGGAGATTTGCTCTAGGTCGATAGCTGCTAATGAAGAGGTTTTTCTAGAAATTCTAAACAAGTGCCTAGAACTATCATATTTCCCCACCCCATGGAAGGAAGCTGCAGTGGTTGTTCTGAGAAAACCTGGAAAAACTGATTATGCTCAAGCTAAATCATACCGGAGACTAGGATTGTTGCCCACTTTAGGAAAGATAATGGAAAAAATGATGGTTAAAAGGATTCGTTGGCACATTCTTCCTCGGACTAATTGCAGGAAGTATAGCTTCATACCACAAAAATGCACTGAAGACGCTCTTTTCGTAAAGAGAAACTCGAACTTTTCTGTCTTGCAGATAGCTGTTCACCAATCTTCGAAGAATTCACGGACACTTCCTCTCTCGCAATCTGCATTTTATTGCAGGCCACCATGCACTGTCGAACGCACCCTTGATGTCCAGACAACATAACGATATGTTGTCTGGACATCACAAAAATGCACTGAAGACGCTCTTTACGAAAAGAGCGTCTTCAGTGCATTTTTGTGGTATGAAGCTATACTTCCTGCAATTAGTCCGAGGAAGAATGTGCCAACGGATCCTTTTAACCATCATTTTTTCCATTATCTTTCCT